TACCTAACGAGTGTGGTGCAGGAATTGGTAAGAGTCCAGTGGGGTCCCCTGGTTCCACGCTGTCAATGCTGGGCTCCGATTTCCCCTTGGGGCTCTGAAGAAAAGGGACTGGGGGTTCGTGTGCCAGGGGAGAATGGGGTGCTCAGTGGCCTAGTTCTCAGCAGGAGGGAACCCAGACCATGCAGCATGGCTCTTTCTGTTGCTGACCTGCCTGACCACTCTCTTTTCTCCAGACACCCCTGCTTGGGTCCTTGCCGCATGGGCTCTGGGCTGCCCCCGTGCTGGAAACACTAGGCTGACTGTTGTCAGGAGCCCTGCGTTCCCACCCTGACTTAGTTCCTGCTTTGCTTTGTCTTTGTTTTTTTCTGTTTGCTTGTTTTTTTTAAGATGAACAGTAAGGGGATCTTAACCCTTGACTTCGTGTTGTCAGCACCACGCTCAGCCAGTGAGCAAATCGGCCATCCCTATATGGGATCTGAACCCGCAGCCTTGGAGTTATCAGCACCACACTCTCCCGACTGAGCCACGGGCCGGCCCTTGTCTTTGGTTTTGGACAAGCCACCTCTCCTGCCTGGGCTTGAGTGTCCGGAGATAGAGTTAGAGGGTGTCAAAGGTCCCTTTCAGCTCTATGAAGGAAAGATTTCTAGGCACACATGAGACATCAGGGAGACAGGGATCTTGCCTGTCCTTTTCATTCCTGGATCCCTGCTATTAAGATCAGTCCCTGTCCTTACTGTGTGGTACACGGTGAATACATGCACCCTTGTGAATCACAAGCTGGGAGAAGAGTAGACTTTCCCTGCTCAGCTTCCATTTCTAGAGGTTTCTGTGGTTGTCATGTAAAGAGAATTAGGATTCAGATGTTCAGCTCTGTAGCTGTGAGCAAAAGCCAACAAAGACCCCAGTTCTCTTTCCTTGGGAGTTCAAGGGCAGTTTGTCAACTTGCGTCCCCATGGGGTCTGAGAGCTTTTCCTTGAAAATCCATTCCTGGCCCCACCACTTCCCAGTCTGGGGAATGGAGCTGAGGGGACAACCTCAGTCACCTTCCCGTGACTCTCCACGTGGAAAATCTGGCACCAGGAAACTGGATGAAGTGGAAAGAGGAACAAGGTTTCTTTGTTCGCTCCTTCCATGTCTGATGCGTTTGGGGACAGACTGAGATGGAGAGGCCGCAGGCTTGTCCTGCCCACTCCCAACTTGGAGAAGGCTCCCCCCTGCACCCCACCCTCAGCCCCACAGGGTCCCCGAGGATCTGGTCTTCCTGGCGGGCCTGTCCTGGGCCACTGGTGGCATTCCTAGGGCCCGTCGCTTGCTGTTGCATCTCTGCCTCCCTGGTAAGAGATGTTTCTTTCCTCTTCCTACAGCAGGAGAGTAGGCGTCAGCAAGTGAACTCCCTGCGGGAACAACTGCAGGTGAGTGGACTCTATGGCATCCCTCATGTGCCCTAGAGAACCTTCCTGTCCCTCTCTCAGCACCTGTTTGGCTTTTCTCCCGAAGGCTCAGATTTGGACCAGTGAACTCTTAAAGTCCGAAAGGCAGACATGGAGAAAGCCCTGGCCGATGCTCGTCAGGAAGCCCGGCAGAAAGGAGGTGTGGATCTGGGCAGCCGTCCTCCCTCAACCTGGTGGCTTGTCAGGCCTTCAGGGAAGCCCTTTGGGTTCCATCTTGACCTCTGTCATTCCAGGAGAGTGTCAACATCTTCGGACCTGCCTGGACTCCCGGGAAAAACAGATAGAACAGCTCCAGGAAAGTCTGACCGCCTTCTCCACGGGGCAGAAGGAGGCAGAGAGGGTGAGTCCAGCCACCTGCCCTCACACTTGCATCTCCACCCTCAGGGGTAAAAATGGGCTTAGAGAATTAGATAGACCTAGACCTGGATGTTCACATCCCAGCTGTAAGCGATCTTAACACTTAACCTCTAATACCTTGCATTTCATCTACAAAATGGAGCTAACGATAGTAGCTCCCTACTATGATGGTTGTGACGATTCGATGGATTGTTAGCATGGTGCCTGGTGACGCACGCAATACAGAGTCAAACAATGGTGATGACAGTCCTGACAATGACAACGTGACAGGATATCCCTGGGCCTCCGTCAGCCAGCTGTAAATCAGATCTCTTTCCCTGCCTCTTCCACCCTTACTGAGGTCTTAGGAAAACCAATTGAGAACATGGGCTTGAGAATGCCCTGTCAAGTGTGATTCAGGGGGAAGAAAGGTCACTGCTGAACGGTGGCTGTAGGAGTTGGTGTTCGTGTGCCCCGACTCCTTCTTCTGCTGCCGAATCCTGACTTCGCCTTTCTGTATTTGCAGTCCTACTGCAACCTCAAGAACGAGCGAGATGCCCTCTTTCTTAGTTGGAGGACAACAAGTAGGAGGGGGACGGTGGGTGGCAGGTCTCAGGGGGCCTCGGCACGGATGATGTGGTGGGAGGTGGAAGGGTAGAGGTGAGCATGACGAGGTGGGCGCAAAGTTTTGGACACGTACAGAGCCAAGCTGTGACCCCAGCTGTACCAGTGACTCATGTGTGGCCTCAGGCAATTCATGTCCTCTCTTTGGACAGGCACTTGAGAGTCCAGGTGTCCCCTTCCCATGCCATAGTCCTCTGGTTGTGTGGCAAAGTCAGTGCATTGATGACAAAAGTCGTCCTGTCTGTTTCTCGTTCTTTACATTCTCCACCACCTCTGGCCATAGGAACAGCTATGAATACCTCAAGTACCAGCAGGCCCAGCTTAAGGACAAGATTTGGGTCCTTGCAATGGAGAAGGCAGACTTGCAGGTCCAGGCGAAAGAGCTCGAAACATCCAAGCTCCTGCCAAAACAAGTGAGTGGCTGCAGCCCAGGGGTTTGGTTTTATGGGGCTGGGGTAGAGAGTAGAGTGGCATCCTGTCCCTCCCGCAGCCACTCCTTACACGGCTTATGCCCCCGTGCTCGGGGAAGATGCACACTTCAAGCTGAGCTGCAGGCTCGCGTCATTGGGCTGGCGTGTAACCCATTTTGCCAGCTTGTCCTCTCCACTCAGCTCCTCGGCCTTCACTCCCCCATCTGTAAAATGGGGTGCTGGAGACCTCACACGAAATGTTACAGGGAGGGCACCCTGTGTGTCTGTGCCGTGTCCCCTTCCCTGTGCCATGGGGCTCTGGCTGCATCGGGTGGCCACCGATTGCTTCTCTCCATCCAGTCCAATTAGAACATGGAGGTCCCNAGGCTCCCCCTGCCCCCCACCCACAGCCCCACAGGGTCCCCGAGGATCTGGTCTCCCTGGTTGGCCAGTCCTGGGCCATTGGCGGCATTCCTGAGGCCTGTCCTTTGCTGCTGCATCTCTGCCTCCCTGGTAAGAGATGTTTCTTTCCTCTTCGTACAGCAGGAGAGGAGGGCTGAGCAAGTGAACTCCCTGCGGGAACAACTGCAGGTGAGTGGACTCTATGGCATCCCTCACGTGCCCTAGAGAACCTTCCTTTCCCTCTCTCACCACCTGTTTGGCTTTTCTTCCAAAGGCTGCGATTCACACCAGTGAGACCTTAAAGGCCGAAAAGGCCGAGATGGAGAAAGCCCTGGCTGAT